CATTATCTACATTAACTAGTTATCTAGATGAACTGTTGACTTAAAACGTAATGATTAATAATTTAAATATTTTTATTTAATATTTTAATATTAGTTCAATTTCTTCCTTTTTCAGTGTCAACTTGTCGAGTGAGTGAATTTGTTTTTTTCAATTGTTTTCCCTGACGAAACATTAAATTTGATTGACGAACTCTATGCTTAAACGCTCAACTACCACTAACTAGTATCTTATGTGCATTTTAATCAAAACATCAACTTGATGTCATTTATCTCGATGTCTCAAAAGCTTTCTGTAAATCTTTTACATAAAATTCACAAATGGGATAGCCTGTGTTCTTGCATTTTTGGAAAAATTACCTTAAAGATAGGCTTCAAATTGTTAAAATTCGTTCTTCCATTTCTTTTCAGTTTCATGCTTGCCTGGCGTCCTACAGGGCTCTCGTTTAGGGCCACTATTGTTTCTTTTATTTATTAACGATATTCATTCTTCCATTTCTTCAGTTAATTTCCTTCTTTTTGATATGATATTGATATTTATCGTGAAACTTCCAGTGCTCAAGGCATAATTCTCTTACGAAAGTCTCTCTGGTTTAATACGTTGTAAGGAACAACCTCATCAAACACGTGTGTAATGTTTATCTAGCAAGGCCCTAAAAAATTCTGCTCTTCTTATAATATTAATATTGTTTTAAATGTCAATTATATTAAACACTTTCGGGGAATCGGGAATCGGTGGCTGCGACAGTTTAAGCCAGAAACACACTTACCCGATGCTGCCTTGCGACGCTACCCGATGCAACCCGACGCAAATTCGAACTCCGATTTTCCATAAGGTTGCATAACCCCCGTGCACATCTACCCGATGCTATGCCACGCTAACCAACCCGACGCTCTGCGATCCCCACTGTCCAGATTTTCGTCGGGTAGCATCGAGTACAGTCGAAGACAAAAGAACCGGACACTCATATTTTTATTCAAACTACATGTATTATTGTCGTTATATTAATTACAACATACTTGTTTTAATATAAACCAAATTAACTGTGATTAAAAATTAATTAGTTTTTATTTAAAAAATTAATTTTAATGGTTTGGTAGAAAATTAATCAAAACACCGGAATACGATTTTTTGATATAATGAATTTAACTAACACTCGCTTCGGCGGTACATATACTAAAATTGGAACAATTTATTACACGGTTTTGCTCATAAAATTTAACTAACAATTTATTACAAGGTTTTGCTCAAAACAGTGCATTAAGAACAAAAGATGCGTTGCGATTGTGATAGTGATTATTGTGATAAACGCTGTGGACTGTACGCGACGTGTGCTTGCGTCGGATAGATGTGCACACCCCACCAAAACGTGGCAAGGCGTCGGGTAGCATCGGGAAGCGTCGCATGGCGTAGCATCGGGTAAGTGTGTTTCTGGCTGGTAAAGGTCCCGGGTTCAAATCCAGCGGCCCTACATACCGACAAATGATTTTTTTTCAAAAACACGGGCACCTCGAGGATTCAAATCACCTCATAGTTTAAATACCCTCGTTACAAAAGACTTAATAGACACGTTTCTGCCCAATATGCCCTTTTCACTGCATATTTCATCGATTGTGAATAAATATTTTATATATTCTAGGCTTCATATCTCGCAATATTCATAATTTCAATAACATACTTTTTAAATAACTCTATTGCACCCTTGTCCATTCTTATGCTGAATTCTCTTCTCCTTTCTAGTCTCCTTTTCTTCTGTCAGAAACATTCATTAGAGCAAGTTCAAAATAAAGTGCTCAAAAATAATAAGGGATATAGCAAATTTTACAGTTGTATACTTTCCCTAGCATTTTCATTTTATTTCTATTGTAAATTGTATTAAAATTTATTAGAAATTATTGTTTCTTACTGAAGGAAGATTTATTAAGGGATTTTGAAAAATAACAAAATAAAAGGTTTTAATTCCATAATTTTATTTATTGGATACAATATTTTTTTAAACAATTAATACCGTGTATAATGTCCTCTGTTAGCTTAAACTTCTGTGCACCTCTTAGGCATACTGTTAATAACGTTGTCACTAATTTCATAAGGAATTTCACTCCATAGATGTTGCAACGCTGCACTCGGTTGTTACAGGTCAACTGAAGGTGAGGAGTGATGGGGGGATGGGGCAGATGGGAAATTCACAGGTTTTCTAAACATTGATGAACAACTCTGCCTCTATGAGGTCTGGCATTGTCATCCAGAAATCGAAAATCCCTGCCAATAAAATCCCTGGTTTGAGGGATGTATTCCTCGATAATTTCTTGACATAAGGGCCTGGACTTCGACAATATGGAGTCGAGATCGTCCTTCAGTGTAAATCCCAGCCCAGACACACCGCCTCATCCAAGCTGCACTGACAGGAGCACGAACTCGGGCATTGTAAGCACCCCCTCTTCTCGGTAGACTCTTCGGCACCTGCTATCACTATACACACCGAAACGTGACTCATCAGTGGACATAACAGCATTCCAATTGGTGTTTTCTTCTAGGCACTCCTGAGTTGCAGGTAGCGGGCTGTTTTTGCAGATTGTCTCAAATGGACATACAATGTGAGGCCAATGGTTACGAATCGTTTGTTCTGATAAAGGCCTTGCCAAAACATCTTGTATTTCATTTAGGATCTGGCGGGCCCTATGGAAAGGTAAAGTTCTGCAGGAATGACAATATTTCTGTCCTCTCTTAGCGTCATAATGCGATGAGATTCATTACCAGGCCTCCTATTGGCACTTCCATTCTCTTGGAATCGGGCTAAAGCCCGGGAGACCCTGCTCTGATCAATGCCAACTGCTCTGTGATATCCACTTGCAGGTGACCTCATGACTCATTCTCACAATATTGCGAACTTCTCGTTCAAAATTATGTCTTTCCATGGTTAAAGAGAAGAAGAAAATTACAAATATCCCTAATCATTTTTGAGCAGTTTTCTTGAATGAGAGGGATTAGCTCTGGATTTTGTTCTGTGAAAGGGCTCCGCTGGTTAAAACGTTTGGGAACCCCTAGTGTATTGATTTCAGGCATCTGCCCGTTTAAATAAATAAACTTGTGATTAAATGGGCAGGCTCAAAATTTGGAAGAACTAAATAAAATATACTCACGTAGTAAAACAAAGGACATAAGTGAGGAGGTTACTTTATACCTTGAACAAACACCCCATTATTCCAAGAAGTAACAAAAACCCATACTTAATTCAAAAACTTGTAGTACAAGAGAGTGCTGAGTACAGATACATCTAAAAATCAGAACAATCAATACATAAAAAAAATCAAATTCAAAAAAGGAACTGAGAATCAGTAAGAAAGAAATGGGATACACTTACATGATAATAAAAAGGATAGTTAAAATAAAAACCAAATATGAGAAGAGGATTATGGAATGGAAAATAATTAGAGACCAAAATGCAACTGGTACAACAAAGTGAAGGTTTTAGGAGGTCTGAGTTTGAAGTTTGGGAAAAAGAAAAAAAAAAGGAAAACACAGATAAGTAACGTGGTGATTCATCACTGAAGGTCCTGGGTTCAAATTTCAGGCTGATTATACATCACCTGGATTTAAATACAAATATAAGCTTTACTTACCCTGATGCCTTTGTATTATCGTGAAGTTTTGCAGAAATTATTGCTTGACTTATTTAATAAATAAGTTAACTCTGTACATGCATAGACATATATATGTACGAAGTCTTGCTGCAATCTTCCACTTCGGTGTTTTGGGGTCTTGGGTCAGATAGTCTCATACGTCCCATAGCCTAAGGCTCTAGAGGCTATCGACAGCTAGGTCATTTCAGTGACCATCATGCAGTTTCAGAAATCATTTTTAAATATATTCTTCTTACACTCTATGAAGACGGTGGATTCTCGATATTCCTCCATCACCCGATAGCCATATTATATATCCAATTTAATTAGGGGTCGATGATGTACTCAAAATTTTACTATCAGCCATCTCACACTACACATTCACTGTTATAAATTCATTCACTCTCAATATACACAAAACAAGATATTTACCAAGTACTATATAGAATGAAACACCTCCAAATATCAGGATGAGGACCCAAATGCTCACTGACCTCAAGCACAATTCTATCAGGTGTAATTCTTACATGCACTTTATTTGAAGCCAAGAAATGCCAACCTTAATTTGGCTCAAAAGTAAGTGTTTCACCCTAGAATGACTTATTCTTAGTAGGGTGAATGCAATCTCCCATCTTTGATAAAAAAAATCCTTTGAGGGCCTTCCAGCTCTTGATTCGTGATACAAATTATGATTATTCAAAGAAACATCATTTGATGTTTGAAAGGTTTGTTTATTGATAAATTGTATGTCATCATAACCATCAATTTTAGATCAAATACACATAGGTGCAGGGCTGTCTATCACTTCTTGTAGTCCGCTGACAATTCCAGCTTTTGTAATTTACAATAAATTACCAGCAGGCTTTCAAAATCATCCACCCCAATAGTTGGCACTTGGGGGTCATAACGAGGTTGGGTCTTATCCGGCCATTGAGATNGTAAGAGTTTCTCTGCCAATCCAGCCCACTCTCTTTTAACCATGTTTTTTAATGCATTTTTATCATCAGGGGGCTGGAACGTTGATTAGACTAGATGTAGATGAAATTTATAATAAAAGTGGGCCAATGTCTTCACACTGCCATGATTAAAAATAACACTAAAAGGCACTTACAAAAGGAAATAAAAAGAAAACCACATTGTGTTTACTAACATCATATATTTAAAAATCTATACTAATATTAAATATGTATATATATAAAAGTTTAAATAATTTTTTCCATATTAAATTAATTTTTGTATATTATTAAAATTTTAAATAAAATATTTCATAGTATGTAATTGGTACTGCTATTTTCCTTTATAAAATTATGGTTCAGGAATGTTTTTTATATATATTACATACATACATAAAAAACTCCATGAATAATTTTAAAACCTACAATAAACTGTACAAAAAATATAAAACAATTTACAATGTTGATTTAATTGTGAAACTCTTAAATTAATAAATTACCGCTGTATTGAATCCAAATTTACACATTATACAATCAATTAGAAAAAAAATTAATAATCATTCAATTCAAAATTTATATAAATTAATTTTAACACTAACAAAAAAAATAAATAAATAAACCATATATTCTAAAACAAAACTGAAATGTTTCTATGTCTAATGAAATCTAGTTCAACTTAAAGGTTTTGTCTTTATTTAAAAATAATTTTATTATATAATGTGCATTTAAGCTACATAAAAATAAATACAACCCTTATCAAACAGCTATATCTAGATGTTCAATATAAAGTTGCATTTTTAAAACACTACTTAAATAATATATATTGTATTATTATCCATCCAGTGAAAAAAAATGTCAATAATGTAGCCAAATATGTTACAGTTTTGCCAATGTGTAAAATTACGCAAAACTCAGTTAAAACCAAATTCAGTTTGCAATTTTAAGGAACAGAATTTAAAATGCCCCGTGTATGTACCACTCATCCATGAAAATTATTTCTTTCATCAAGACAGTATAAAAGAACAAAAAAAAAGCTTGTAACACCAATTTAAAAAATTAGAACTAAACTATGTTCTTATATTCAAATTAATATTTGGCCTTATTGTGTTCATAACTACACCTGATAAAGGGAAAATTATTCAGAGGAAAAGAAGAAAATCTCACCTTGCACTGAACACTCCACAATTGGTCTGGTACGCATCAAATTATTAAAATATGCAAATACAATTATGAACAGAGAAATGAACATTAAATCTTCATCAAAACGTTGGAAAGTCATATAATTTTAACCACTTTGAACATATGATCATAAATTAAATGAAGCTAGAAGTATATTTACATTCAGGCAACAAATATATTTAATATTAACTGTCTAAAATTAATGCAGTTTGACATTTTATTGCCGTTAAAACCCTTAAATTATTATACACAGCCTTTTTCAAAAACAAAATTTACCCGATGCATTTAAAGCAAATAAACCTTTCCAACTTTTTAATGAAGTGCTTTTTGGTTCATTATTTAAGTTTCTATTACTATAGTAATATTAAAATGAATGTAACAAGGTAGCAAAATGGAGTCAAACATGAAAACATTTGACAACCAACAGTTCTACAATAATTTTAAAAATATTTTACCTACTTTGTACGAACTGGATGAGCAATGAAGACATTTATGCAGCAACCTCTGAAAAACAATAAAAATAATTGTGCATAGAATATGAAACAAAAACATCAGTTAGACTTATTTTTTAAATAGAACATTCTATTTAAAGATTTTTAGTTGAGATAAAAAAGTCAATGGCACGAGCGAGATTCGAACCCACGATCTTCGGCTTGANATAGCTCAAGTGGTAGAGCAGCGGCGTATCAAGCCGAAGATCGTGGGTTCGAATCCCGCTCGTGCCATTGACTTTTTTATCTCAACTAAAAACCTTAATTAATTGTATGATATTAATTGGTCAAGCGGACCACGAAAATAGTGAATTCTATTTAAATACTTGTACTACTTTTGCAGCATATACCAACCACCAACTGAAAAAATTATTAAACAATGTAAATTCACTAATATGTTAAGTTTAAATGTGGCCTGGTGTCCTTTGCCTAAATAATTTTCCAGTAGTCAATGCTGAGAAGTGAGAACACAAGTAAACTGGTGAACATAAGAAACAAAAGAAAACTCTAAAAACCTTTAGGCTGCAAGGAAGCAACTTTACCTGGAAATTTACCACAATAGAAGGAAAAAGTTTGAATTATAAGGAGGGGAAGTGGTTCCATTTTGATTTATGGATTGTTCTCTATTCACCTGTTATGAAAAATATTTTGTAATACTGAGTGTATCAAAATATACAACAATTTTTCAATTTACCAAAGTAACCAGGCTGAAGAGTTCGAGTAATTAAGCAAATTTGAATTATCAGGTTTCCAATTAACAATAATATAAAGGTTAGGGTTACATTTCATTAGAATAAAATTAGGTCTGCTAGCTGGAGTTAGATATGGTTAGATTAGAGTGAAGTGTAGTTAGGTTAAGGTTAACCACAGTTAGGTTAGATTAGGTATAGTTTTAGGGTTATGTGCGGTTAGGTTAGAGTCAGGTGTATTTTTGGTGAGGTTAGGTTAGTTTGGTTAGGTTAAATGTAGTTAGGTTAGGACTGCTTGGGTAGGAGTTAGATGTAGTAGGTTAACACTTTTGTTATGGTTGTCGTTTAGAAATGACACACTAAACCCTTCTTCATATACGGGTATTGTTCCAGAATCACGCACATCTTCTAGAAAAACGCCGCTTTCTTGAAGCTTGTTGTTGTGTGTGGGGGTATTTGTGGAATCAAATAAGTGTCACAAGCCTTTAGTATCGCTTTGTCAATGTTACTGTGAAGAGCATATTTCAATTTTATCTTTCAAAAAAATTAGATTTAAACAAATGTAATCAATATTTTTTCTGTATCTCAGGAGTCTTTACAAATCAGTTCTGTAACGAATGTTACATGTTAGTTAGGTGTTATGTGAAGTTTAGGCATGGTTAGGTTAGGATTAAGTGTGGTTAGGTAGAGTAAGGAGTGGTTAGGTTAGGGTAGTGGTTAACGACAGATACATATCCATGATTCAAGTGCATTCAATAAATTGAATGCACCGTCGACTTATTGATGTTTTCTAACACCTTCATTTTTCCTGTTAGGGACATGAAATTATTTTCACATAAGTGACTGCTTAGACAAAACCAAGATGAAAATGAATGATCAATCACTGAAACATAGTTGGGTTTTTGGATTATCCTTGAAATTTTAATTTAAATAACGCTATGCAAACAGTCATGAATGCCTTTTGCATCTTGTACTAACCAATAGACTTAATATTAAAAATTAAATAATAAATACATGCACATTGTTCAAATAAAGTATGCGCAAATGCAATATAAATATAAATGAGCAAATAAATACCTTCAAAAACTAATGCAACAGTGAAAATTTAAATCATGTAAATAAAGTAAGTCGATACGATTAATTTTAATTACCATTATGATTCCGATAGCATTTCTTCTATTGTTTTATCATCGTGCAAAGGAAAATTTGAAAGCGCAGTATCGCTTTCAAGAAATTCTCTCAGTTCTGATTCTAAATCCAATTGTCCAACGCCAACGCAATTTTCCTCTTCACCACTGCTTTCTCCTCCATCAAGAACAACAACATCCTGAAATAAACATTAAAACAAGTTAAGTTTAATAAAATTAACCCATGGAATTGAATTCTTCACAAATAGAATACAATGAACAAACAATGAAACAAATGTATGACTATGAACAAAAAAAAAACACCTCAACCGAATTCTGTATAGGGGATGTCGTGCTTGTAGAAGTAGATACTGTCATAGTTTCATTTACAATTCCCATTGCTTTCCTTATTGCTGGAACTGGAATAATTGCTCCAGGTGGTACTTGTTTTGCCAATTCCGTAAGGCTCTCGGTGATTTTCTCCGCTGAAGTCAAACATAATGTCACATAAATAAAGTTCTAATTTTAAAAAAGCAACAATAATGAACGAAATAAGAACAAACCCAAATTAAGCTCAGTTTCAGAAGGCTGAGTTATGTGGCTTAAGTGATTAGGTAGAGGAGCTGACAGCCTGTCGTTCTGGACCTGTTGAAGCTTTTCTAGCAATTCTGATGTATGTTCCAACTTATCCTGAACTACACTCCTTTGAATTCCATCCGAGTAATCTATATTTTCTTGAAATAATTTAAAAACAAAATTAAAATTTTTTTTTTTTTTTAAATTAGGTGAAAAAAAAGGTGCACTTTGAAACTTTGATTTCTTTTTTAATTTTGTTTTGGACATATTTGTTGTTTTAGTAATTTAAAAATTATTTATTAATTACAATTACAAAAGTATCTATTTTTGTCACTGATTGTGAATTGTGAACTGCTTAATTCCTAATTTGATTTCAAATCTCCACAATGTACATCATCAACAAGAGCATTTAACCCTTTAAAATTGCCTTTATTCACTATTGTGCTGGTAGCACAAAACACAGTGATGCCCGTAATCAGCGAGCAAGTTGCCCAAGCCATTGCACTCGTTGAGGATTGAAGAAAACAGCGTTATGCTGCAGGTTTTATTTTTGCCTACAATGATCGTCAGGCATTTCGCAATACCAGGAGACTGCAAGGTACACTCGGAAACCAAGATCGGGATGCCTAAGAGCTAGGGAATCAGCTGACCAATTTTTTCAGATTTCACAATTTAAGATTCGCTTTTCCGCTGATTCTGAAACGTCTCAAAGACTTTGAACTGTGGAGGATGTGTCCGTTAGTGCTGAAACGGTAAGGAGTAGACTTGGAGAAATGAGTCTACATCCCAGAAGGCTAGCAATGGGTCCAGCGATTACCAGAGACCATCATTGGGACTGCTCATAGTTTGAAGGGATGACATTGGACAGAAAATGTAATAAAGGAATGTTGTTTTCAGATGAGTCCCAGTTTTTTCTCCATTTACCAGAAGGACAACTTCAAGTTTATAAAGCATCTTTAGAGCTGTACAGCAAATGCAACATTGCCAGAAGAGGGTAGTTCATAGGTGGTTTAGTTATGGTGTGGAATGGAATTTCTTTAGAGCCTAAAACGGAGTTACACACTTTTAATATGCTGTTACGTTACTTAATGCAGAAATCTACATTACAGAAATTCTTGAGGAATACGTCATGCCATTAACTCCTGTTATCTGGCGAGCAATTCTTATTTATGAAAGATAATGCAAAACTAACTTTGCTTTTAGTGTTGTGCAGTACCTTCGAGATATCACATGGATATTACACTCTAAGAAGGACAGCCCACACCCTATTAAATATTTCCCGGATGAGCTCAGATGTTGGGTAAAATGAAGAAATAACTCTCCTATAACCTTAGCTGAGCTGAGTTATGTCAGCTGAGATTTGGAATGAAATTCCTCAAGAAGTGGTTAAAGGTTTAATTATGATCATGCTGAGATTAGAATAATAATAACTAGAGGAGGTAATACACCATATTAAAGATTTTGAAGATTGATACACAAAAGTGATGTTTTTCTTTTTTTCTTCTTCTTCTTATTATTAATTTATTTATTTTTGTTTTTGAGGAATATTTTTAATTTCACTCTAACCAAATCTTTTAATAAATAACTGAAATATAAAAAAATATTGATGTTAATACTACTGAGTCAAGTACATAAAAATAAAAATTTCAAACTGTGCCACTTTTTTTGTAGAGCAGTTTATTTTAACTATTATAGTATGTCTTTAGAGGGTTATTTAAAAAAGAAATAAATAAACAAAATTTTATTCTTTAAGTTACAGTTTTTCAACCTTTACATTCAAAATCTCAGTGTCTACAAAACTGAGTTCCATTGTTGGTGAGTTGTTGAATGAATTTTAGTGTTAAATATTAGTTTAAACCAAGGTTTAATAACTTTTTTCTCTTAAAACTACTTAGCCCATAAGATATGAGATACTGACTCCCTCCTCCAAAAAATAATAATATTGACATTATGTTCTTACCGTAGTATGATAGGAACGTTGTATCAATTCCGAGGTCAGATAGCGATTTCAGCTGTTCGATATCGGCTTTAATATTAGTTAAATCTATTTTCATATTAGAAATTTGATTTTGAGATGGCGACGTTGCATTGCACTCCATGAGTTCTCTTACTTTCTCTTCTTCCTCACGGAATTTCCTTTGTTCGTCGATAACCGTCTTCGACTTCCGGTGTTCGCCTCCAGTCAGTAAATCGAGAAGATTGTCAACCATGGTCAGAGTGTAGTCGCAGTCCTTTGCAAAGTTCAATATGCTTGAAGAAAAAAAAAAATTAAAATTATTATTATTTATTTTACAAGAGTATGTTAATTACGAGGTTATATGAAAACTTGATTTAAAAAAAGCCCATTTGTAAATATGTCAGGTTCGAATGTAGTGATGGATTCGAACCTGGGACCTTTGCCATACGGTAACGTGCCACTGTCAATGCCTTAACCGTTGCGGCCACTGATACCCCCAAGAATTAATTTATAAATTGAAAATTAATTGTTAAATATATACCTTTCAGCATAGAGTGTAGCATTTTCATCGCCATATGTTTCATAAATTAAATCCGATTCCTCTTTTGTTAAATTGGCGAACGTAGAATCATAGGAAGGTGCGTATGAACCAAAAGCACCGTAGTTTAACGGTTTCACTAAAACAACAAAATGAATTATTACTTATTTCAATTAATTATTATTTTTATCTAAGGTCTTAGTTGAGATGAAAAAGTTAAAAAGGATAATTAATTGAAATAATTAATATGGTCAATTATGACCGCTAAACATAGATTAATAACTATTAATATAGAAGCAAATATTAATACCTAACAATAAACTACGTTAAAAAAAGAAATATGTTTATTATAAAAAAAATATCAAAATGAAAAAACAAAACAAAATTACCGGTTTTAGCAATATTTCGTCTATCTTCTCTAAACCCTTGTAATTGACCTGAACCATGACTAAGTTTGCCTATTAGTTGACCAAGAGAAACAGCTTTTTGTTTAGGCCTTTCTGGATCAACTCCTTCTCCAGGTACGAATATTGCCAAGGAAGTACTGCCATCCTGCTGTTGCCTTAAGAAACCCATCTGAAAAATTGAATTTAAAAAAATCTTGCGATTAATTTAAAAAAGGAGTTTAAAAATTATTTACAACACAATGACTCATATAATTCGGTCTGCTTATACTAGTCGGATTGGTCTAATGATTTTTCTCCTTACACTTACTTCTATTGTAAAGTATATATAAGTAATGTACTGTAAAATTTTGAATGGTATGGTACAAAATAAAAGGAGTGAGAGCTAATACAAAATAAATCAGACTGGGGGAGTCGCGTAGCAGCCAAGGCTATAGACAAGGGAACTTGTTTTAGCATCCAAAAATTAGTCCAGAAAAGGTTAAGTAAAAATTAAAAAACTACTCACATTCGTTTTGGGCTTCTTCAAAGAAAGTTTTTCAGCAGTAGCACTAGCTGATTTTTGAGCCTTATCTAATATTTGCTCGGAGGTCAAATCATCTGGCACAGCTTCAAATTTTGTCCTGAACATAAATAAATAAATAAATACCCTCAAAATTTTAATAGAAAAAGAAAATAAATAAATAAATACTGACTCAGGCATAGTTGATGCTTTCCTCTTTGGAGAAATTTCAACTGGTACTGGTTGCGGTGCCTCATCATTGTCGCTGGCACTTCTGTTTTCACTTGGCATAGGTGTAGGACCGGGTCCAAGTTGGAATCCTAGTTGATCAGCCGGTATTTGGTTTATAAAAGGTAAACTATTAGATAATTGCCTTAGTTTTTCAGGCGTGAATAACTTGAGGCCACCGTGAAGAAGCCTCTTGGCCGATTTGTAGTATATTGTATCCGGCTGATTATACGTCATTGCATTGTTGCACATCAATTTAAAATCATTCTAAAACAAATTAGTAATTAAATTAATTATTATTTTTTATCTAAGGTCTTGGTTAAGATGAAAACATTAGTGTCACGAGCAGGATTTGAACCCACGACCTTCAGCTCAACAATTACTTGAGCTATGGCTTAATCTGGATTGGGACAAAATTCCATATGTTCAGCCCAAACGTTTTGATTGTTATCGATAACATGGTGTCGAAGGGAACCACTTATAAATAGTATTGCTCTAAAGAGCCATTAGAAACCTTATGGGAGACGCAAATGGAGGCAGGCGAAAAGCCGTAGCCTAGAACAGTATATTCATGCAGAAAATAAAAAATTTTTAATTGCCCGAAAGGCCCAAAGCCAGCGCCGCTCTGTTGTTTGCAACGAAATTATTGCCGCCACAATGGCGGTACACCTTGTCCTTTTTTTTATAGGTGAAAAATTATTCTCTTTTTTGGCTTTTTTGAAGGTAGAATTTAAATTTTTTTTAAATTTTTTTTCTTCAGTTTCAGTAACTTGTGCCATTTTCAACAAATTTATTNGAAATTTTTTTTTTCATTTAAATTCTGCCTTCAAAAAGCCTACAAAATAAATTGGTTTACCCATCTGTAAAGTGTATTTTATGGGGTTTTGATAATAAAGGATTCATTTCCAAATAGTCACCATTGACCTCGGGGGGAAAAAAATTATTTACAGAAAATAGTAATAAGAAATGAGAAAGAATAGTGTTATGTGTGATGACAATATTAGATTTTAAAACTTAGAAAAAAAATAAACTTACATATTCAAAATAAACTTACAATGTAGTCTGTCAATGTAGGATAGGCGTTGTCTTCTAATTTCTGCCTCATCGTCGAAAAATCCATTGGATGTGATATTGTCTTCGAATAACCCGGAGCGATTTGGTCTGTTACCGGCCAAGCAAAAAACTGCTGCGGATCCCTTTTCTCCAATTGCCTTTGTAAATATTCTATCGCTCTAAATAGCGGATTTTTGTTCTGCTTTTGTCTTAAAAGTTGAACACACAAACGAGGCTCCCTGCTGCCTAAAAAGGATAATACACAATTTTTCACGTGCATTTCACATACGACACGAGACTACGAACACTTAACACAATTGATCAGAGGATCACAACAAATACAAATAATAACATAAATTAAGTAAAGAATATAAAATGGGAATTGAATTAAACAATTTAATTTAACAGAAGGAATATAAATATGAAGTTACCAATCTCTTTTTCCATTAGTTAATATTTGTGTCAATACAGAATTTGAGAAAAAAAGAGAAATTTTTTGTTGAAATGTGCAGTATGGACCTGGAGTTTGGATGTTTATGATCATCTTAATCTGTCTTTCTTAACTTTGTGGCATGCCAACGCAACAAGGTTATGCAAGCAAATAAAATAAAAAAATAAAAAAATCCAGACAAACCAAAAAAATTTTCTCCCTATCTGCTTTGACATGATTAATACACTAACACTACACATTAATGTATGGAGTATTCTAAATACTATAATAAATACATAAACTAAACATACAGGATATTACAAAATAAAAAAATAAATAAAATTAAAAAAATAAAATCAAATAAAATTAGTCACATTTCCTCCTTTAAGCACACAAGTAAATGCTATTATTTGTGAATAAACATTTCTATTCACAACACAGACATTCACATGCGAAAAGTAGAGAAATGCCACAGTACCTAATTTACCTAAGGGCTCTGAACTATAGGAAGAATCTTCCTTTGGCGGGGGCTGATCTCTTTCATTAACAGGTGGCTCGGCTAACGATTCTTCTCCGACACTTACACCATCTTGGCTAGATTGGTCCTCATATGCTTTCTTTCGTTTGTCCTAAATCAAATTAAAAAAAAAAAAAAAAAAAAATCAACTTAAGAACATAGCCAATAACAGATAAAAATTTTACCTTATGGTGATGTTTTTTCTTCTTATCATACTTGTCATGATCTCTATCCTTCTTTTTCTTCTTCTTTTTTGATTTCTTGTAAAAAGACGAAGATGATTGCAACGATTCCTCATCCCCAGTTACGGTGTAACTAGTTTGTTGTAATATTGGACCAGGTGAATCACTATGCTCTGGTGTAGAAGAATTTCCTACCTTTAGGATTAATTTTAAACCGGGCGGTCTATCTCCTGAATATGATTTTTCTATTTAAAAAAAAAAAATCAATTAATGAGCTTGTTTTAAAATTCAATTCAATCATAAAAATGCGACAATTGGTCAATACTACACAAGTAATGAATGACTTGTCTAGAGGGTTATGAAAAGGCAGCAGAAGCTATGCCTATAGGGGGAAAAGGGATAGGAGTAGAAGAAGTGGCCACAAGCCCTTATGCACCTCGACATGAGTAGATCATTGTGCTCCTCTGTTTTTAGAACTCACTGGACAGCTTCAGATAATTAATCGATCTCCATAGCCTTGCCAACGGCTCCTTAGAGTCTTACTTGCAGCATTTTCTCTCCTTGTTGCAAGAATCTACATCATATAGACCCTCACATTAACATAAAATGCGTTTTGAGGTTTATCTTCTTCCTGGCAGTATATGCACAGTGTTTCTTCTATCTGGTGCATGTGCCTTCTTAAGCGGCAGGGCACCGTCAGGACTCCAACCAGAATCCTGCTTCTGATGCGATTACCTTCCAGTAATTCCATTGCAAGTCTTGCGGATGGTACTTCTATGAATCTTCAAGGCAAGAAGTTAGACTATAGTAGGGATCGGAGCCTAGAGAATTCATAGTTGCTACTTTTTTGGCCATGTCCACTTTCTCATTGCTTCTATGTCACAAATGCACAGGGAATGCCAAGTTAAGATCATTGGTGTCAATGACTTCTGCCAGGGATCTCATACAATTCCATATGCTTTTTGCCTTTTACCTCACATACCGCTAAGGCCTAAAGCGACACTGCTTGGCTGTCAGAGAAAATGGTTCCTAGTTTTGTTATTTCTCTGACGCAATGTTCAATTGCTCTAATTTCAGACTGGAAAACTGTAGTGTATTTAATTAAGTGTTAAGACAGTTTGGTCTTCGGACTCATCCTGAGGACTCCCATGCCCTTATCAGTTTTAAATACCTTGCACTTGGTGTTTAATTATACTTTTGAGTTGTAGTATCAATTGGCATGCCTAGTATGGTATCTGCTTGTATCTCCTCCTACAGTTTTTTCGTTGACTTGGCAAGCTGGGAATACACAGACGTTCAAAAATGGATGATTGGATGTCGTTGGTTCCAGTGTGATAGCTTTATAACTTATAAGCACTATCTACACCTACAACACCCGATTTATTAACTAAACTGACAATTGTAAGGCCAAAGAGGTGAAGATGGGCTTTGGTCTGCAAGTCGGTAAACTCATTTTGAACCGCCACATGGTCACTTACTGGGTCTGTCACCACTCATGAGGTTTTGAGATATTGAAATACTTATTCAGAAATCTGAGATGTGGTCAAATTTCAACTACATATGGACACGAAGCTAAAAGAATTCTGAAGAACAAAACCAACAATGAGAAGAAACTCGCATCGGCTATCAACCGGAGAACTTTTTTGCTGACATGCAGACAACACAAGGTATTTCTTACTCACGATTTCTGAATTATTATCGATTAACGGTCACTAATCACCACACATATTGAAATACGTTTCAGCATCTTCAGTGAGGAACTCGGATCCAATGACATATAAACCCTACTCACCCAACATGACAGGCATTTACTTACTGAAGAGGTTCAATACCAAAATGCGTTTGAATAATTTGAAAACCCGAAACTGGAGACAGACCCAGAAGTGACCATGTGCCAGGTCATCATAAGACCATAAGGTATCTTTCAGACAAGGCGGTTTGATTGATTCAACTAAGTCAGCCGGCTGACTCGCAACTAGTTTACTGCATGTGAAGTCTCTTTCCTTGCTGGTTTCACACCAGGTAACTTGTGGAAATAACCTCTCATGCAAACCGGAGGTCAGTACAATGTAAGAACCTGAGGAAGCAGGAGCACTTCTTGTGCTTGCTCTTCTGCAAAAAGGGAAGGAAAAAAGGAGGATACCCAGTAAAGAAAAGTGTGCGTTATCCGTTGTTATAAAATTGGTAAACAGGCGCTTTCTCTCAAATACTGTTGTGCTGCTTCGCGGAAGCTTCGCTTCTTTTAATTTTGTCACTATACTCCTCGCACCTCATGTCCAATATCGCGGGACTAATATGAATTTCTTCAATGAACTGCTCCACATCGAAACTTGCAATTGTAAAGCTTTCCATGGTGAACTCAGTTGACTCAACTAGGCTGACTGGTGTGAAGGACGAATGCCAACCAGTGCCTTTTGTGTTGAGGAAATGAGAACATGAGCGGCACTTGTGCCTGCTGGCCACCCGCCCGGATGAGTTGACCGTGTGTGAAGAAGTTGGGCAGTTCCCATCATTTGCTACCCCGGGCTACACTCCTTGACCCATCCGTTCAACTAGTTGAATCGAGTAGCCCCCCCCCCCTGTCAGAAATAGACTAAGAGGACAATGCTGTTAAAGCTAGTTCAGTTACAAGATCAACTCAGCTAGCTGAACTAGGTCAATAACGAATAGAGTTAAGTTTATTTATTGTTATATTTATCAGCCAGTGTAAAAATTAATAGATGGTCGCATTTGATCAATTATATAAAATGTATTGGAAAAAAACTAATATCTTTCTAACATAGTTAACTGATAGAATGGACTATTCTATTTAATCGTAAATAAAGAATCTCTCATTCTGTTTTGTTTTTGTTTTTTTTGCAAAAAAATATTGTATTAGACGGTTATGTGTTTTTTTTATTTGTAAAGAAAACTGATTAAATACGGCCGTTTACTAGTAATAAATATCAAAAAAAGGGGGGAAACGGGAAAAGTTTGGCATAACATGAACCCGGGCGAACAGGACTTGGGACAGAAAATCTCGGGAATGGAAGAAAGCTTTTAAAAAAAAGGTCAATTTTATTAAATTTTCTTACCTTCGTATTTTTCCTTTTTATGTTTTTTATGCTTTTTTGCCGATCCGGCCTTGGAAGATTTGCTGTTTTCCATTTCGACGATACCGGCGATGCCCCGGGACGGTTGATCCAGGCGTCGACGCCGTGAATGCGGACTGGGAAAAAGAGCTCGGTTGAAAGCCGTCGGCCGGCTTCTTGTATCCTCAGGTCAATGGGTCCGCCTCGTCTCGTCTTTTAGGGCGGAAAAGTGCATCTCAGTCGAAAAGAATCGAGATAGAACCGTCCCTGAAGGCGGACCTCGAACCAACAAGCTAAGCTAAGGCTATCTCCTCGCCCTTTTGGTTATAACGTAAACAAACGATTCCGGGTAAACCGCTCCAACCCAACACCACGGCCGGATGACATTCATTGACCCTCTTTTCTTCTATATTTACGGTTATTTAAAAAAAAATTGCAGAAAATCCGATTTATTATCCAATTTATTTCTCATGCCAAAATGCAAAGTTTCAGTGAAGAAGAAAGAAATTCTATTATCATGCCAAACTGTTAGACGACTATCAACTTGATTGCCGCGCCACCTCGAGCTCAAAATTGGAAACGTCATACCAATGAACAAACTACACAACACTAGTTTTTTTATTTTTTATATTTATTTTTTTAATTGTTTAATTTTTGATTTATTGCCATTATTACAAAATTCCGATTAATGATCTAATAAAATGAATTATTTAGTTTACAAGTTCACTACCGGATGGGATAAATATTTATTTTTTATTCATTACAGTTCGTGGTCCGATTAACCGAATAACTTTTTACAATTAATTAATCTTTATGTAAGGTATTGGTTGAGATAAAAAAGTCAATGGCACGAGCGGGATTCGAACCCACGACCTTCGGCTAAATACGCGGCTGCTCTACCACTTGAGCTATCGTGACTACGATCCACTCGGACATTTACTTATTTTTTAGACAAAAAGAATAATTAATTGAAATAATTAATATGATAAATTATGACCGCTAAACATGTATGGATTAATTTATTTAAAATTTCCCAATTACACATACAAACAATGATAAAATAAAAGTTATAATTAGAGCTCGGATGTATATGCAATACAAATGCTCAAATATAACATATTATATGTACTAATAAAACCTCAAATATGCAACAATATGTGAACTAAAAATCTTCAAATATGCCATATTAGTACTAATAAAATTTCAAATATGTAGTAATGTATGCACTAATAAAATTTCAACTATGCAATAATGTATGCACTAAAAATTGTCAAATATGACATATAATATGCACTAATAAACCCTCAAATATGCAATAAGATATGCACTAAAAATCCCCAAATATGCAACAATATATGCATTAGAAATCTTAAAACGTGTTTTATAATATGCATTAAAAATCTTTGAATATGCCATATAATTTGGACTAAGGAAAACTCAAATATGCCATATAATATTTACTAATAATTCCTCCAATATGTAACAATGTATATACTAAAAATCCTCAAATATGCCCTAATAAAACCTCAAATATGCCATATAATATGCATGAATAAACCCTACAACATGCAACAATGTATGCACAAAAAATCCCCAAATGTTCCATGTAATATAGACTAAGAAAAACTTAAATATAATATTCCATATTATATTAAGTAATAAACCCTAAAAATATAAATAAAATATGCAACAATGCATTCACAAAAAGATCCTCAAATGTTCCTTGTAATATGGACTAAGAAAAAATCTAATTTGTCATATAATATGCACTAATAAAACCTCAAATATGCCATATATCTACTAATAAAATTTCAAATATGCATTAATGTATGCACTAAAAATCTTCCAATATGCCATATAATATGCACTAATAAACCCTGAAATATGAAGTAATGTATGCACTAACAATCCTCAATATATACCATATAATATGGACTAATAAAACCTCAAATATGGAATAATGTATGCAATAACAATCCTCAAATGTCCCATATAATATGGACTACGAAAACCTCTATAAACCTACAAAATATGTACTAAAAATCTTCGAATATGCCTTATTTGTGCTAATAAAATTTCAAATAGCAGTAATGTATGCACTAAAAATCGTCAAATATGCTCTAATAAACCCTCCAATATGCAACAATGTATGCACAACTTGCTGAACATTATTGTAAAAGACCCGCTTTTCATCCCCAGTTATCAATTTAAAATTGGGGCATTTTAGGAGGTTAACGTGAGTGAAGGTCGTTTGTTCTCCCAGTGACCCATATTCACCTCATAGATTAATAGTATTTCAGCAAAAGTTGAGAATCGAAGATAAGTTATAACAAAAAGTGCTGCACCTTTAGAGCCAATGTTTATCTCAATTAGGATTACTCCAAGGCGGAATTTTGAGCCTGGTCTTGTTCTCAATATATTTGGTTGTGAAATGAGCCTGTAGGTTTTTTAATAGTAAATTCAATGTACTTGTAAACAATAAACCATTTTCTTCAACTTCCTGTAACCATCTTCCATGTAATTTTGTTATTCTTCTAACAAGACATCTCGGCTTTTTGGTTGATGGATTTTCCGCAGTTCTCGAATGAAGTGAAGTTTTTCTCATTTAGAGAATTTTACAGAGGCTGGGATAAGTGAAAATTGAATATGACAGGTGGGGTAGCAAATCCCATGTAAACTCCGACTATTTCTGGGGCGAGCTTTATCTTGGTGGAAAATAGCCCTTTTGTGAATAGTCAATGCTGGTCATTTTTGGCAAAATTGGCTGACTTTAATGAATTAGAGGTGTGGTTTGCTTAAGAAGCTCTCAAAACACTTCCTTCCAATCCCACCAATTGCATAACCTTCTTGAGGCTTTTGGAGATGTTAACATGTTAATATGTCACTACATTTTCCCTAGGATTTTCCTTGCTGAGCATTATTGGAAAAGATCCCTTAGAAGGTAAATGTGAAGGTCATGTTTGTTCTTCTGTAAAATAAATATAAGGCTGTTTGTTGACACCCTGTAGAGCTTAATTTGCATATGTATGCAGAGTTGAGCATATATTATAAATCAGTCAATTTATAGAATGTTTAAATTATTGTCATTTCAATGAAAATTCAAGCACTCCACTATTCTTCAAATCTGTGTAGAGATTAGTGACCGTTAATCGATAGTTATTCAGATATCGTGAGATGCGGTCGGGTGTGATGTAGGTTTCAGAAAAGCATTTTCTTTATCGTGCCAACGTTTCGATCTTTATTGAGATCATCTTCAGGGCCTGGGATTTACAAACACTGTTTACTTTTAACAAATACATTTAGGATGTGGAAAAGTGAATTTATACAATGCAAAATATATTTTTTTAATATATTCAATGAAAGTATTTCTACTCACTCAAAGTGTTTGTCTTCTGTGTAATTGTGCCATCCTTACGTGTCGTGTTGAGAGTGCCAGTGAGTTTTCTGTTTTTTGTTTATATGTTTGGTTTTGAAGGGGTGGGAAAGGAAGTCGGTATATAAAAGACAATTTTGTGTAAGGCGTCGGTTCCTTTGAAGTGAAACTTACACAAAATTGTCTTTTATATACCGACTTCCTTCCCCACCCCTTCAAAACCAAACGTATATAAACATAAAACAGCAAAATCTCACTGGCACTCTCAACACGACACACAAGGATGGCACAATTACACAGAAGACAAACACTTTGAGTGAGTAGAAATACTTTGTTTGAATATAAAATATATTTTGCATTGTATAAATTCACTTTTCCACATCCTAAATGTATTTGTTAAATGTAAACATTGTTTGTAAATCCCAGGCCCTGAAGATGATCTCAATAAAAGATCGAAACGTTGGCACGATAAAGAAAATGTTTTTCTGAAACCTACATCACACCCGACCGCATCTCACGATGTCTGAATAACTATTCTTCAAATCCTTCCTCAGAAGGCCATAGTATTTTTAACCACAATTTTAATGCCATCCTACACACAACCGGTTCTCTCTAATGGAAGTATTTCATGGTCCATTGTATTACTAAAGCTGACAAACCTCCCAACAACATATCCTCCTACAGATTCATGAGCCTTCTCCTTTTGATATCCAAAATCCCCGAAAGGCTCCTTTTAAAACATTTAATACCCATCTTAGATTCATGTAGATGTAATAGTCGGGATGTATTATACTGCGCCCTTTAAGAGCTATTGTATCCCTAGATTCATGTAGAATCATCCCTTCTCACCAATTCAGCTTCTGTCCTCATCATTCCACGTAATATTTCACAGTCGCTGACCATTTCCTCCACTTCCCAAGTATCGCTTGGGTATGTTCCTTGACGCGACTCAGGCTTTTGGCAGGCACACCTAGGCATCCTTTATAAACTTAAATGCTTCCTTCCCTTATTACCAAGTCCTAAAATCCTACGTAACCGAATGCCTCTACTCTGTGAAGTGTGACAACAAGTACTCAATACATGCTGACATCCTACAAGGCAGCATTCTTGGTCCCATCCTGTATATAATTTGTAATGCTGACTTTCCTATTCACCCCAACAACATCATTACCAGTTTTGTGGATGACACCGCAAGTCTGCCTTCTAATCCAAATGACCTAACATTCAAGGACAATTGGAGTTTATCAAACGCTGATGTAAAAAGTAGTCGACAAAGTCATTGAAAAACAGTCTTGCCCTCCACATACATGCACTCAACACTACATTATACTAAAGTCAGGACTATACATAGACAGCAGATGGGGAATCCCCACAAAAGACTTAAGAGATGACCACTGAACAGAAGACTTGAATAACTACGAAGACTTTTAGGGATGAAATCAATTTTGACCATCCAATCTCAACTAACTCTACACTAGACATTACTGTGTCCACTCTGGGCATAAAAAAATGTGGACCACCAAGCCGTCAATATCCGTCACTTCTGACCAAAAAGTCTTCAGTCAAATTGTGAAACCTCCTTACTATGCCACTCATTGTCCTCAACATTACTTTTGTCAATGGACTGTTCCCGATTCTAAAAGTTTCACACCAACCTCTCCCTTCATCCTAACCCTTCTATTGAGCCCTCTTTACACATTCCCATCCCGAGAACCTGCCACATCGAGATGGCTGGTGACCTCAAGTCCTCTTGTCCCTTCAATCCTCATGGCATATGTGCTATGGGTGTAGCGCTGGCATTGGTATTAGTGGTGAAAAACAATTACATTTGTAATATGTGTTCTTTTCTTTTAATTTTTGAGGATTTGGCCCATTTTGACCACTTACACTACCATTTCACATCCTTTTGCAGTTGATTATTGATCATTTGATAAAATGTTCAGATAATTATTTTTACATATGGCACCAACACCTGAATGTTTTCAAGAGGAATAAAGAAAATAAGATACTTATTACATAGTATAAACCTGTAGGGAGGGAATTAAATGCCTGTTGTGAAAAATTTGGTATTTGTGCCTTTGACTGGCTATATTCTCTTCATAACTCTTGCAACAGCAGTCAAAACATTATTAAGAGTGTCCAGTAGCACTGTCAAATCGTTTACAGCTATTAATATCATGGGTGTTCCTTCAAGGAAGTATACTTAATCCACACTTGTTTTAATTTTTGTGAATGATCTAACTTGCTTCCTTGTGATTCTGACCTTCTTATTACCAATGAAATTGATGACTCTAACTTTGTGCATGCGGATACGCTTGAGAAAGCTCTTGCCTCCTATGGTAGGTACTCGAGAAGACGTCTATGTGGCTTTCATTAAATCAGTTAGAGTTCAATTACTATAAATCAAATTGCATAATATTCTGCAAGATAATTAAACACTACCAAAAAAACTCCATCAACTGTCATTATTACAAATGTCACATGCTCATTGTGTCATTGACCTCTGGTGTAGCAATCCTGATCTTTTAAGTAAAGTTTTTTTATTCCAGAAGAGAACAGTATGTAGACTGAGAAGTTTATCGACAGGCGAGACAGACTAGGGAGGCGAATTTGTATTTTTTATCACACTAACATTCTTCTTAGGTATTTTGTTGAAATATACAAGGAACAGGAAGGGTCCAAGGATATAGCCTTGAGGAACACCAAATTGGTATCTCGGTTGGGAAAGGATGATCAAAAGGAAACTGAATTGTCTGGACAAAAGATAGGAGTGGAATATTTTTATTACATAGAAAGGAAAGCTATGAAGCCTGTTGTTGATACCATTATGCAAAATAGTGTGAAAGGCCTTTTGGATATCTATCAAAACTGATCAAAACTGTGCCAGTGTGCTTTCTTACATAAAAGCTAAGCGTTATGCCATCTTGGCTAATCAGGCAGTGGTAGATAGCTTTGGCCTGAAACCAAACTGCTCAGGCAAAATGAAGCTGTTTTATTACAGCAAGGCGGGTGAGCATATGATGCTCAAACACTGTTCTAACAGAGCTGAGTAGGTAGGTCTGTAGCTGTTTGAATCAGATGGGAACTTGCCAGGTTTCCAAATGAGGTTAACTTTGTTTTAAAGGTTTTCCAGGTTTGGGATAGTAACCAAGAATAATTATTTGAATGAAAATGTTTGTTAAGTGGACTTCGGCATTTTGTGGAAGAAGAAAGTTAAGAGCCATTTTAAGTTCTTGAAGATGTAGATATGTCATTTGGGGTGTGTAATATACTGTGCCCTTTAAGAGATATTGCATCCCCTGTCCTGTGCTTATAGCTCACCGAAGAGTCCTAGTTTATCAAGGAACTTGATCATTAGGCCCGGTTTTAATTGTTGAATTTTTTCTATGGCTATGTTGTAAATCACAAAACACTTCCTCATAAGGAAGATCACATTTGATGCTACAACTCATTAAGGTGTGTTGGTGTTTCATCTGCTTCTTTGCAGTATCCGCATTTGCCATGTTGTGTTATACCAATCTTCTTCAGCTGACTATTCAATCTGAAGTGTCCTGTGAAGAATCCTGTTAGGATTCGAAGATTTTTCCTGCTTCCTTTGATGCATTCTGTTGTTTTTTCCTTCTAAAATTTGCTAGAAGGTTGTTGAATTTGTAGCGGTTCTATATAAGAAATTAACTTAAATATTCAATATAAAACAAAAACACTTGCATACAAGTGAATTCCACTCTTTCCTTATTTTCATTTTATCTACTTGTCTAAGGTAGTGATAGTGTGAAGCCATAGGGGGGTCAAGACCTATCAGCAGGGTGTCTGTCCTCTTTCCTTGCAAGGGTGTCCGCTCATTGCCCTCTACTCCTACATGTCCTGAGACCCAGCTGAGGGTGACTTTGAGAGGGTGACATACCTAATATCTTTAGTTTAGTTTTGCAATTCAGCACCATCTTTGATCTAATGATTTTTGAGCTTAGTGCTTTGATGGCTGCTTGAAATTGCTTGTAATATATGGAACTGGGTCCATCTCAATTGCATATACTTTACCCTGGAAGATACTGATAAATTGTCCCATTGGTACCAGGACCAAATACTCATGCCCACGTACCTTCCTCTGTTGTATATCTATCAGTGTAAAAGCAGATGGTGCCATTCTCAACTGAGGTTATAGAAATTTTTCTTGAACTCAAACATCTTGTTTTTGTTATCTCTTGTGGCCATTGTAATATGGCAAAGGGGGCTAATCGCAATGTTTTCCCCACAACATTGAACATTGTTACGTTCTTAGGGCTAGGTATTTTGATTAAGTATACAAGGAACAGGATGGGTCCAATATAGAGACTTGAGGAACACCAACAATGTTTCTTGGTTGGGAAAGGGATGGTCGAAAGGAAACTTGGAATGGACTATTTTTATTATGTAGGGAAGCATTCTTCTTAAACCAGATAGTAGAAAATTAGAATAATCCTTCAAATGTGATTGACTTAAGATCTTTTATGTCTTTCAATTTGAACCTTCACAGTCATCTTCAAGCAAAAATTCCTTAACTCTTCCTAACTACATCTGCACTGTGAGGACCGGAGTACTAGATATTTCGCCATCGGTTCTCTCACTTCCTCATTCACCCAAACAAACAACTATATACAAAAATAAATATATACATACATAAACATTGCACAGCTAAACAAAAATGACATATATTATTTACAATTTTACAGATGGGGAAACATCCCCGTTTCCCTTAGATATCGGAACAGGGGACCCCACAATCTACTCTTGTGTCCAAGGACTATCTTTAGGTGTCTTTAGGTGTGACTACTCACTCCCATTAGGGGCCAAGGCATGGCACTCCCTGACCAACTATGACACACTGGGCATTCTTTTTTCACACATTTTCCTTACAAACTCTGTCGTGTATGGCCTATCTTCAAACAGTTGAGCACAATCCCTTCCTTGGTTTCAGACCGTTGGTGGGCCATCGCACATGCTCTTAACTTTACTAACATGACGCTGCTGACATTCTTTTATTGAGTTCTTTACTGCTCCTATAGCCAGGGCGGATCATTTGTCATTTACTCATGGGACAATTAATAAAATAAATAAAAAAATAAACCAAACATGTACTTGGATCAAGGGAAGTTTCACGTGCTGATCAGGTAAAACCATTAATATGTTTAATTAGTACTATTTGCAAGGTATTTATTTTATTGTGGAGGAAGGTGATTTAATAATCTTATCTAAATTTTAATATTTATTACTAAAAATATGAGGATTTATGTAATTTTAAACAACAATGGAACATCTATATAATTATGTTTAATAACTGCTTGAAAATACATGGTTAAACAACGAGCATTGCTGTAACAAAACGTTCACTATACAATAAAATAAATAAATATATTCTTGAATAATTTGTATTTTAGCATAAATACGAATTAGTAAGTTCATTTTCTTTTTCTTTTCTTTTCTTTTTTTTACTTACATCCAAAACAAACTTATTAAAAATTGATTGTAATAGGTTTGTCACATTTACTGTTTATATTATTGTAATATTTAAGTTCTTTTTTTTCTACAACACATATGTTCGATCTAAGACTTTAATCTTATACATTGGCAAACAATTTTGAAAGTGCTATGGATGAAAAATTGATAATTATTGGAGATTTTTCTCGGGTAAACGAAACACACAAAAGAATAAAAATATTTGAAGTTAATTGACGAGGGCAGATTGTGTGGTGTCCTTTTCCTGCATGTTTGCAATCCTTTTGCCCAAGCCAAAGTTGTAGTGCATGCTCCGTTCCTGCCTGGCACGTTCGTCTTCGTCCACATCGCGTTTTCCTATGCCAAACATGTATCTGAGGTCCTTTCCAGACTTTGTCCTTTTCTCTTCCATACCCCTTCCGTTCTCAATAGAATCGTAGTCGTCCGATTCGGCCATCTGTGACCGTTTCCCCAATCCGAAGGAGTACATTTTCCCTTCGGGTCTTTTCCCAAGGCCGAAGCTGTACTGTTTGGGGAGACGTTTTCCTAGGCCGAAGGCGTACTGCCTTCCGCGCTTGTTGAAGTCGTCCCTCATCTCGTCGTCGTATTCCTCATCCATGTCGTAGTCGCGTTTTCCCAGGCCGAAGGAGTACGTCTTTTCACCGGCTGCCCTCTTTCCCAAACCGAAATTGTAGACGGGGAGCCTTTTGTATTCAGACACATAGCTGTATGCGGCGCGCTTTCCTAATCCGAAGTCGTACAGCCTCTTGCATATATCGTGGAGATCTTTGTCCGTTTCTGCGTTCACACCCCGCTTTCCACTCAGCTCAAACAGAAATAGAAGTGTTGCGAAGCATGGGATTAGCATCATGATTATCCTGAAACAAAAAGAAAATTCTCTTTACTAAAACCTATAATTTAATGCAATCAGCAGCAGAAACGCTTAAATGATCGTCATTTAACCAAACTACAATAAAAAATTATTTTCCCTGCTTTAAGCTATGGCACCCAGGGTTTCTTTCAAACTAAAGCAGTTCCCCACCCCTTATAATCAACTCATAAAATCCTAAGCAAGGTTACTTCAAAGCAAGGTGCGGCAATGAGTTCTCAGAGACTATCGATCCATGTCATGGTCTCATCAAGGAACATTCCTTGAACCATTCTATAATTTATCCTGCTGACCTGCCCTACCACAATTTCATCTCCTAACTCCAATCATACCCGAGCCACCTCCAGTATCCAATAGATGCTCATCCATGAATGGTGCCAAATTTGTAAAATGAACTAGGAATGCACATAATTAGATTCATGTTGAATAAATAGCCTTCCCCATGCCTATAGGTTAACAGTAAGGAACTACCAAATCTACACATATTAAATTAAATAATAGACAGTAAACCGGACTTGAACCTTAAAAAAGGTTCAAGCGACAAGGACAGACTTGGGGCAACTACCAAGACATCTAGGGACGAAATTAGTCACGACCGTAAAGAACTAAGTCTGGACAAAATTTCAACCTATTTGGACGGAGAGGATTGTGGGGTACCACAAAGCCATCTAATATCAAACTAATCCAAGGGTTTCGATCAAAAGTCTTAAAAATAATTCTCCATGCTCCTTACTACTTCTTTAATCTCACTATCCACCCAACACTAAAACATTTCGTTAAATAATTTGTTCCGTTCCCACTTCCTCAATAATCCAAAGAATCTGATGGATCTGAGACCACCTCCCTTTAATCCGTTAACAAATTGAGTGCTAGTGTTGGTTGGGTTCTTATAACACGACTTCTGGATCCCGTGCTGCCCGAACTGTTGCTATTGTATCAAGGTTTTTATAGCTTTGTGATGACCCTGTTTACCTAGGTAACCTGTTATCTACTAGGTGTCAACAATGGTCTCGCCTTCGAATGAGTTAGGAGCTCTGTATACAAGCAGGAGTTCAACCTGCTTAATTCAGACTCTTTGACGAATTCTCAACCATTAGCTACAGCAACAAAGTGTACTCGTAGCGTCATCTCTCGCGCTTAGAAAAGCCAACATGGCTGCCTGCTGCAAGAGCTTGCAGCTCTGTATATAAGCAGGAAGTCAACCTGCTTAATTCAGACTAGAGCAGTCAATAGGTACAGTATTAATGGTACTCGCAATATCATCTCTCTCTCATGGTTTTTGTAGTATTGGTTGTTTTTGTAAATATTTTGTCTTTTTCATCGGTTATTTATGAAAATTTGATTCGTTTATATGAAACGTCTCCTTTCTCGTTACGGTAGCCTCCGACAAACTACAAGGAGCTGAACGCCATATTTTGGTTTGATTGAAGTCATCAAGGTTGTAAAACGTCTCTTTTCGACCTTAAATCTACACTTCAAAAGGTCGATACAAAGGAACGGACCTGTTGACACGTTTTTCATTAGATTAAAATGAGTTTAAGAGGCCTGTCTTGTAAAATTTCGTTTAATCGTCTCTCCTTGTGAAATTGCAAAGAAAAGCTCTCACGGCAACCGATTTTCGTAATGAACGAGCTTGGAAGAATGCTTTTTTCTTAGACAATCCACGTTCTATTTTAATTTAATGAAAGGTTAATTTCAAATGAATGTTCTAAGCTAATTAAATGTTAAAATTCTGCCAGGTCGCGAAGAGACAAATATGACGGATTATATTGTTGAAAAAAGTTCTATTGTGTAAAACCAGATAACACCGAACGTCTCCTAAAAGCTACCTAAAAACTGATTAAACTTACAATCGTAAAGAATAAGCGAAATTAAAAAGAATAGTAATTGTACAGACATATGGGCAAAATAGGCGGCCAAATTATTAACCACCAAATAAATGAACATTCGTTTTTTTCCCCTTAGTGGAAAGCTCACAAAGCTCAACAATTTTAATAAAGAAAGCAACAAAACTCCCTGTAATCTCAAGGACAAGACAAAGCATAAGTTTATTCCACCCCAATTTCGTCTTATAGAAATATAAAATGATAAACACCATGGCCGGGAATTTCACTGAATGAAAGAAACTTGGTTATCATCAAACGTACAGGGCGAATGAACGGTCAATAGAGATGAACCTAGCTAAAATATTAAATAATCGCGTGAAACATTTTTTTAAAGTATTTATTTGTGACCTTTACGTAAATATAACTTTACGAATTGTTCTTTACGTTTTGTTACCGAGTGTTTTTAGTGGTAAAGAAAAGTGTCGGTGTTACGGGATAGAGGTTGGAGGATGTGGTTGCGAGCCGGCTGTTGGGAGTGAAAGACGATACCCTCAAGTACCCTTGTTGCTTTGGCCAATGCATACGGCTTGCTCGAATCTGAATTAAGCAGGTTGATCTCCTGCTTATATACCGAGATGCTGCAGGCTCATTGGTTGCATTTTGGAAGGCGAAACCAGTTCTGAAGCAGGGTTAACTAAAGGTGATCACTACATAGCTTCCCCCCAATGGTTTAGCCTAACCAAGCAACAAGAAGATGAATTGAAGCGGGGCGTGTTCCTCCCACTCACTAAAAATGCTCTCAGGTACTCACGTCGAGCGGTCACGACTTTAATGATCGGGGTGTTGGGTGAAGATATTGTTGAGGTATTGTATATAAGTCCTTGGACTGATATTGATTAGTAGGATGTTGATTCAGTGGGATTCGGTAGCGAGCGAAAGGCCTTGTTCAGCAGGGATCCACATCGGCTGATGCGAGTGCGAGAGTTGATATTGCGAGTACCCTTGTTGCTGTAGCAAGTGCTGTCAGACTGTAACATTAGTGATAGTCGGTTGAGATTTCGTCGGTGAGTGTGAAATAAGAAGGATTAGCTCCTGTTTGTGTACAGAGCGAGACCATTGTTGAGACCTAGTAGATAAGAAGTTAACCACAGGTGGTCACCAAAAGGCTGATACAACAACAACAATTCGAACAGCACTGGACCCGGAGGACGTGTTATAAGAACTCATCCAACCCTGGTACTAAATTTGTTAACGGATTAAAGGCGTGTCGGATCCATCGGATTCTTTGGATGAATAAGGAAGAGGGAACGGATCGATTTTTTTAACCAAATGGTTAAGGTCGTTGTGGACAGTGAGATGAAAGACGTAGTAAGGAGCTTGGAGAATTCTTCTGGGGTTTTTGATTGAAACGCGTTGATAAGTTTGATAGAGGTGGCTTGGTGCTACTTCACAATACCGACAAAATAGGTTGAAGCTTTAAAGTGTTAGTTGCCAAAGCTGTTTAGTTTTTGTCACTTGAGTCCTGTGTTGGATTCTACTCGGTATAGTCTAGGTGTACAGTCCTAAGTAGTATTTGTAGATCGGTAGTTCCTCGCTGTTAATAGACGTGTGGAAAGCTGTTTATTTATCGTGAAGCTAATTTGAGCGCATTTTCCAAGTTTTCCATCATACATTGATGAGCTCAAGATCTACTGGATATTGGAGGCAGCTTGGGTAGGATTGGAGTTGGGAAATAAAATTTCGGCAACGGCAGATCATCAGTATAAGTAGAATTACAGCATAGGTCAAAGAATGCTCTCTGGTCAGACCCTGGTATGAATCGGTAGTCTCTGAGAACTGATTGTCGCACCAGGCAAGTGGTTAGATAGAATTTTAAAATCTGAAGATTTAAAAAAAAAAAAACAACTGAAAACCAGGTTGGCCTCTGATGTTACGAAACCGTGTTTTCGAATTGTACATTTTTCCTTAGTTTATGTGTATAAAACAATATGTGCATGTGCATGCCCGTGCGTGTATCTCTATTCATGTTCCATAATTTGACTTTTACCTGGCAAAAGACCAATTAATTAGTTGATGAAGACTGTAATTGCACCCAATTTATATTATCGATCGTTGTTTCGAGAGAAAGAAATGTAAGTTATTTTTAATTCCGTGACATCACTGAACCAACTCGACGGCCGACAACGTTTATGGTTACGAAACAAATTTTTTGAATCATAAGTTTAAATTTAGACAAAAAGTTTATAATTAATCACATTTCTAAAGCTTTCTTGTGAGATTTATTTAGTTAGCCAACCATTTTGGCTTGAGTTCTTTCTGAAATCGATTAACCCACGTTTGATTCATTAACTACTGGCCTTTTTTTTATCGCGATGATGGTTTTTTCTTTCACATCTATAGACGATGGCTTAGTATCCCCTTTTGAGCGATCTACCGCGTGGAATGAGGGAAACATCGGATGTGCGGCGTTTATAAACCCAACCGAACTAGTCTGACAGGTCTGTGATTTCTATACGCCGCGGAAGACCCGTCCGTATGTTGCTAGCCACTCACGAAAATAAATACATTCTAAAAATAGAACCTTTCAAACCGGATACGTTAAAAATTGGGGTATTCGTTAGTTGGCAGTCACACGACACATTTTCTTTATTAATTAACATTACGTTTCAGTTTTACAAGTCTAGATATTCTATACAGACCCGTCCCGCAAATAAATACATTCACACCAGAAAAAGTGATAAACGCCACGTGTGAGGGATTATTATACGACCATATGCGTACATCGATTTTTAGATAGCACCAAGCTTATCTTTATTCAGTGCTCTTTCCCTTCGGTACTCGGAACATTCCAGTAATCCGAACTGGAACATAAATTAAGAAATGTCAGAATTTTGAAAGAAACAAATGAAACATTATTTGGGGATATATATANTTCAGTTCCTCCTTTTAATATAAAAATTTTATTTTTTTGGTCTTATTGTAAATATTGTACGAAAGATTGAGGAAGATTTGTAGTTTGTTTATTCTAGTACGATGAGTCTCGCATTTTGTTTCAAGTGATGGATTAGCTGATAATGATACATTTATTTATTTGTATAACAAAGGTTACTTATTTCATTTATATTTTCTTTTACCTCTCTCATTTTATCTTTTTTTAATAATA